GTGAATTACAGGACAATTACTTTAGTAACCGTAGGAGCCTATCATTATGATTTTTTTATTATAATAAGAACATGGCTTTTTAATTTTTATAGAAGCAAAACAACATATCTGATAGTTTTACATCATAGGCGTGGGACATCAAAGGACAAGCAGCGACACTTGTCCGGGACGTGAAGGAGCATAAAAAGGCTGTGACATGCTTTGCCATTTCTGAATCGGGGAATTGCCTGTTGAGTGGATCTGCTGACAAAACAGCAAAGGTGACTAGTACAAGTCATATGCTAATAGTATAGACTGAAGAGAATTCTAAAAATACATTCAAGATTGATTTGTTTTTCTTTCTCTACAGATTTGGCAAATGCTTGAAAGAAATCTTGAATGCGTAGAGACTATACTGACGAAAGATCCAATTCAGAATATTAACACACACGGAGAACAGATTTTTGCAATTACCCAAAGCCACAAAATGAAGGTAGATTCAAAATCATTACATTCAGAAGAAAGAACTTACAAATAGGAAGGCAGACTCTTATAGTCATGTCTGAGAAGCCAAGTTTTGGAATGACTTTTAAGATAGTATATTACATTAACACGACGTTCTCTTTTATAGGTGTTTGATGGATCACGAAAATCCAGTAAATATTTTACGAATAAATCCGTAAGGTGTGGAATATTGACACACGGAAAGCTTTATGTAGGCTGCACAGATTCAAGCATACAGGTCAGGGTCAGATCTTGATTTAGATTCATATAGATAATGGAACAACTCATAAAGCAATTGAAGTACAAATATCAAATTACTCAATGCAGGAGTTAGCTATAGCAAACAGCAGGCAGCAAGAGATCAAAGCGCCATCAAAGATTTGGAGTATGAAAAACAAGTCTGTGAACTCATTAGCCGTATATAAAGACTGGATATATAGTGCAAGTTCAATGGTTGAAGCTTCACATATAAAGGTAACAAATGCAACTTGCTGATGTGGAGTAAATACCTCTTCCATTGACACCCTCACTGATGCAGGAATGGAGAAAAAACAAGAAGCCCCAAATATCAATGACGCCAGAAAAGGGATCCAATGTGTTGGCGATGGAAGTAGTGGAGGACTTCATATATTTAATTTGCAGCGCATCAATGAGCAACATCCAGGTACTGGGAATATCTTTCCTAGATACTGAGATTTAAGTTTGATAATTCTAGAAAGTCACATCTCAAAGAGAAAAAGAGAAACTATCTCTACTTAACAGAAATCACCTTAGGTCAAGGTCAAGTCCAATGAATGAGTACTAAATATATGCTAATTACTCAACTCGCTTACACAAAATTTACCATGTTAAATACCACTTTATCTCTAAGCAACTGGCTGCATTCTGACCCAAGAATACATGAGGTGATCAGATTTGGCTGAGAGGAACACAGCACAAAGTTGGAAGATTATCAGCAGGCAGCAAGATAACAAGTCTTCTGACAGCAAATGACATAATTATATGCGGTACAGAAACAGGAATGATTAAGGTTTGTCTATTAAACTTGTTCTACTCAAAAAAGGAAGAATTACTTAAAGGGAAATAGAACTTTTGCCAGACCAAATTGCAGAATATATGTGCTTATCATGTAATATGCACCAGTGGTAATAACAAAATCACACGTTGCCAGTATTGTGCACTTGCCAATTTAGAGTATCAAAATTTCCACTACCCCTTCTGGTATCCTCCCTTCAAAAAATCTTTATTAAAGAAGGGCACAATCTATATTTTATTCTTCCAAACATACTGGTATTAACTCCTTGCTTTGACTTCTCATCTTAAAAATGGCAGGGTTGGATTCCCCTCTAGTGGTATATTACAGGAACAGAAAAAGTAAAGTTTAGCACAAGTGATAGTTTCAAGTTAGTCAACTTCACCCTGTACAGAAGGAGCTTTTGCAGTCTGATTCTATATGATGTAGAGAGAACAACCATACAAATGTGTGCAGTGTAATTATATCATTTCACTTCAAATAATTCTACTTGCCATGTAAATGAATGATTGAAAAAATCTCAGATATATGCTAAGCCTTTTTGTTCTCTTTTCTGCTTAAAAAAAAAGGATGTTATTAAGAGTAAAACCATTTCAACTTGCACTCGAGCATTAATAGAGATTAGAGGATCAACCTTTTCGCAAGTCCAAAAGTTTATAAGCTCATACACATACCTACGAACATACAAACACACTCACACACACAATGAAAAAGTTGAACGCATGAAGAGTAAATGGCATTTCTATTTTACATTCTAAAGGTAAAACGTTGGATTTTTACCCCGTTCTCTCCTTCCCCTTCCTCTTCCCTCTATGCCGGGTCACCATCCCTGCCTCCAAAAGAAAGAGAAAAGTAAAAGTAAATACTCATATTCCCTCTTTATGGTTCCTGTTTCACGTTCAACAACTTTCATGCTTCCTTGTATCTTATTACTAGATTTAAATAGGAGAATGCTCCATGAGTTTAGGCCTCGGTAAAAAGAAAAGGAATCAATATACCTACAACCATTAGGGGCAGAGCTAGATCTCGAACGAGAATCTCGAACCCATAAGTTTCAAATCCGGATTCTGCCTCTGACCAACATTAACACACAACAACAACAAATCCAGTAAAATCCCACAAATGGGGTTTGGGGAGGGTAATATGTACGCAGACCTTGCACCTACCTTATGAAGGTAGAGATGTTGTTTTCGAAAGACCCTCGGCTCAAAAACTTAATGGAACAGTATGAAAGAAAAATCATGAAGAGAAATTTGAACAAACATTTAATCGACATCAAAATCATGAAATAAAAAGCTTTATATCTTAGTCCGCAACAATTGAAGCAAAACCTACAAAAATAGTACTACTATTAAAGTACTCTCAGATTCCTGTCTTCTCTTATCCCCTACAAAAACAAAAAGATGAAATTAATTCTTTATATACTCAAAACCGATCAAAAAGGCTTTAATTCTTGAAGTCACAGCTACAAAACTGTCGACTCGAAAAACTGAGATTCGACCAGTTTATCTCTGGTCCTTTCCAAATGTGCCTTAAACATTAAGAGTTCGTTCACGTCATGACATGTTTCAACATTGAAATTAGAATCCCACGTCATACCATTCGAATGAGAAGAATCGCAATGGTGTTCAAAGGTGTTAAGGACGTCGTTCCCACCATAAGTGTAAGGTTTACCTGTGGGAGAGAAAACAAGAATAGCAACTTGAGTACCGCTAGTCTTGGATTGGAGTTCTACAGCTTTCTTGAAAAGTCCTTTGCGTCTCTTTGAGAATGTCACCATTCTTGATGATTCTTTTGTTATTTTCTTGATTTCAATCTTCTTCTTTCCTGTACCCATCTTTCTGAATGAAGGCATGAATTTCTCTGCAAGTAATCAAACACTTCGTAAGTTTGAAGGCCGGAGAGTTGGACTTTATTTTACTTATATATATAGAAGCGGGAAAGGATTTTTTTAGTAGGCGCTTGGACAAAAAGATTGTAATCTATATAATAACGGTAAATGTCAAAGCTTTTGAACCAATTTTCATTTTATGTTATAATATATATTTTCTATAACATCATTTCGCTAGAATATTCGAAAATATTCGGAACAAACGATGTTGTTATAAAGAGGTTTGACTATATTTAGAGTTGATGTACCAGACTGTCTTTTTTTTAATATTGGGAGTTAAGTTAAAAAATTATATTTAAAATTAAGTTTGGACATGCATTTTATTTGAAAACATATTTTAATTTGGTGAGTGGGAAAAAAAACTGAAAATTTTGATTGGTTTCTGGAAAATTCATTTTCGAAAGATTTTCAAAAACTTACAAAATTTCACGGACAAACACGTTTTTGAAAAATAAATGTCACGACCCAAACCGATGGGCCGCGACGGGTTCCCGATACCTTACTCAACCAAGTACCAACGTAACTAGGGGTGTTCAAAACCGAACCGAAATCGAAAACCGAATCTTAATGGCTTATTGGTATCGAGTTAACGGTTTAACGGACGGGGAACAGATTGAATTTTTTTTA